TATATAAAAACGCAACAAGAGTTTAACTGATAACATTCAGTGCTGAGGGTTGACTGGGAACAGCGAGTGTGTCACAGTTCCCTACTACTGTTGCACAGTTAAAGATTTTATGGACAGAAGATAGGAATTGGCTGATTGCATGGTACATGGTATCAACAAAGCCCTTTACTCCTGGGTGAAGCTGTCTCCCCATTATATTTCCTGCACTGTTTCAGTCTTTTGCTGTCTTGCTGTTCCTCCCTTGTCCTTTTGGACCTCGCAAATAGTTCTCACTTTTTCCAATCCTACGCAGGTTCACAACCAGTGATGTAAGAGGCAAGCTGCCATCCTGGGTCCGCCCTTACGTGAATGTTTATGACAACTTTGGGCATGCAGTCAGAAGTGTCTCCCTCTTCTTCCGTGTTGCTCAAGAAATTGTAAGTGTCTTGAAAACTGAGGGGTTTTTATTGATAGTGTTGGAAACTGGGAGTACTAAGCCAGGTGACAGATGTGACAGAGTCACCTATTTTAACACTTCTAAACATTGGTGACTTTACAGGAAAGGAGATACGTGTCATCTGCCTCCAAGAGTGAGCTGGGACAGAATGTGTTGTCATGCTGTGCAACTCATTAGGTTAGATCACAAAAATAACTTCCTTTTCCAGTTCCTCCTGAATAAACACAGCTTTCATTGGATGCTATGCAAATACTGCAAGTGATGCATCACTGCGTCAAAAAGCTTTCTACCTCACCCTCAGAGAGGGTATATGTGTGGGAGAATCAGTCAAACCCTTAAATTTAGGTCTAAACTGACTGGTATAAAGAGAGACAAACCCATTAGTTCTTACGGTTCAACACTGGCTCATCTTTACTAATATGGCTTCTCTCTTAATGTTAAGAAGCTCTTTTTCTCAGTAATAGTTCCTTGGTTTAAAAAGCAATATTGTGAAAAGACTTCCTAATTGACTGGAGAAAGTTATGGGAAGAAATGGGCTGGAAGCCAGAATGGGGAATGCTTTGTCCCTAAAATGGAGATTAAGATTCAAATAAACTCTTAAAATTTCACATTTCACTCGTATTTGGCTAAAGCATCTTCCAGGAAGTCATCCAAGTTCTTCAAACTAACAAGTTACAGATGGATGTTATTGAATGACTTGACGATCTTTTCTGATGATAAACTGGACTTTCATGGTGAATAAGAACCACAGCCCAACGTGCGTTGCCAGAAGGAGCTATGTTGCAGGGATAGTGTCAGGAAGCAATTGCTCTTTAGCAGGGTCACGACCATTTTTCTGTTTCTCAGGTCACTTGGTGCTAAGCCTGCGTACCGCACTTCATCTGTCTGTGTCACTTCTAGTTATTTGACCCTGTCATCAGCACATAAATCCAATGTGCTAACAATCTTGCTGTCATGGGTTCTTTGGGAAAGAGGTGATGTCTTTGGGTTGTTGCTGAGATTTTTGGTTGCAAAGGAAATGGAGTGGAAGAGTAGCTTTTGCCTACTGTAATGTTTTGTAAACTGCTTGCAGATGCCCTTGCCCCTGCCGCAATGCCCTTCTGGCCCTCCTGGTTCCATAAGTGAGAGCGATACGGCACCATCTACTTCATCTGAGCAGATCTTCTCCATGAAAAAAGCAAAAAACTTGGAAGACCATGTTCCCAGTTTGAAGAGGAAAAGAAAAGGTAGGTTTGGGTTCTCACAGACATACTTTTTTGTTTTAAGCTGAACCAAAAAAAGGAGGAGCAAGAGGCTAGAAACTGGAATGGGGGAGAAAGCAAGGAGAGCTCAAAGACTGGTGTAAACATCTGATCAGAAGGGACATAGCTCGGCGTTAGAAAAGGAGGGAGTCAGTTGCAACTACAGAGCAAAGAGGCAGGTGGGGCCTGAAAAGGTGTCCTGCAGAACAGGAGGAGTTTGTTGGAATATCATAGTTTAAGAAATAAGAACTGGAAGTCTGTTTCTGACTAGCACTGACCTTTATATGTCCTTCTTCTGTCCTGTTGTGTAAATGGCTCTTACACAGTGATCTGACCAAGAAATTAGAAAGAAGGCATTGGCCATGGAACAAAACAGCATTTTGAGATTTGTGGTTAGCTAATGCCAAAGAATAAAGTATTTCTCACAACAGATATTCTTTCAGAATGTGCCACTCTAGACGGTTTGCTGGTTTGGAATGAAACAATGAAGTTGTGTTTAAAACTCTGCTTCCAAACCAGTTGTGACTGAGTGTGAGGTGATTTCACAGTACGTCTAAGCCCGTGTGACTGCAGGTTGTCGTGGAAAGGGGTTACTTTGGCTGCCACTTCTTCCTCTCTGTTTCCAACCATGCGCTTGTGCTCCTTCCCTTGGTTAGAATCCATCTCTTGTGCAACTGCAGAGCAAGCGGAGGAGCTTGCTGAACCCATTTACCTTTCATCCACGGGGTGGTAGATCCATCTCAAAGGAAGGGCTGGAATGTATGGCTGGAGGCAAAGGGAAGAAGCAGCGCTGCCTCTTCTGAGATAGATTTTCAGTTGCATTGCATTAGCTGTAACATCAAACTGCACCTGTAATCATAGTTTTAGGTGAAGAGTTTCTTGTACTGACTTTGAAATTTATAGCGTTAATATATTTCCATTCTTCTCAAAATAGTGATTTTTCTTAGTAACTGAATGTTGAAGTAATTTCACAAAACAGTGGAAATACATTTTAAAGAGGATGCCTTTTAGAAGTAGCAAACTGATACTAATTTAACATTAGTACTACTCTAAATTCTTATATTTAAAACCAAATATACCTGTATCCTAATCACTGAGAATATGTATTCTTGGGACCTGAAAGTGACTGTGTTCCAGGTATTGATACTGTGAGAACTGTAGGCTTTAAAAAAAACATGTTCTGTTTAAAAAATAATAAAACATTTTGTGCTAGAATCTCTTAAAAACAAGAACTCAGCTTTTGGGAAATCCCTAAAGGTAACATAGTTAAACACAGTTGTTGCTGTAAGACTTTTTTTTCCCCCCCCATTGATCCTAAGCCATTTTGAGGTTAACTATGTCCATCACTTAAGGAAAAGTTTGAGAGAAGTCCATCAGGTTGTGGTAACAAATGATTGAGCAATTTTGGGAGTGATTAACCAAAGCATTCCTCTTACTAAATGCAATAGTAGTTGCAATAATGCAATTTTGCAAGATGTGGGAGATTAATTAAACCAGCACATCTTTCTGGATTGCTAAGTAAGATTTGGAGGTATTACTAAGTCAAAGAAAATGCAGGAGATAACATGGAGTTTTAATTTGTCATCTGTGATATGCTGTGATGCCAGTAAATGGAGATGGAGCATCCAGCCTATGCATGGAGTATGAGCAAGAGCTGGTCTCACCTAGAAGACAATGTGTTGGGCTCTTGGATGCCTTGGAGCGCAATGAGAAGAGCAGTGAAGATGCAGAGGAGGAAAGCGACCTGTCAGGAGAGGAAAAGGTAATGGCAGTGGTGTAGCAAAATACTTGATTAGAAGTAAAAATTGTAAACTCTAAAACAAATTAGTTTGGCATTGATTTAAGAGTACTGGTTCAACCCTCTTTCAAAAAACCTTGCTGTAATCAGCACTGGTAGCTGCAAGTTCTCATAATTTAGCTTCATCAAAGGGTTTCCTTGGCACATTCAGCTGGATGACCAGCAAGTGCTGTCTCATCCTGTCTGCCCTGGTATTTTCTACAAGACTGCTTAGGTTTCCTTTCTCAGTACCCCAAGAGAAGCCCTTATGTAGGTTTTCTTCAGAAGAGAAGTACTTCCAGGCAGGATAGTGAAAGGGCACATGAGGCATCGGTTACCCGCAGGTATGTGTACGCTCCCAGGGCTGCCCTGAAGCGGTTAGCTGGAAGTCCAGCTTTGCTTAACCAGGAATCTGCACTCTCACGACCAGCTTTGTCTTCAACTTCCTCTGGTTTGGTCCCTCTCTGAATTGTCCAGTAAGCGATTACCTTCCAGAAGCAGGTGTGTGTCCCAGGCTCTGTTGCTATAATTTAGGCTGACTTGTTTCACTTTCTTGAATGATATCACAAACTAGGTTAGCGAGCTTTACTACTAGAAACGGCTAAATTGAATGGACAGTAACTTTGAAAAGCTTTTTTTTTTGACCTTTCTTCTTTTCTTTAATCTTCACAGGCACATCGTCTGTCAACGCTTTCCCTTCAGTATGAGAAGAGGTTAACAGATGAGCAGAAGGGAGGAAGGAAGAAAATAAAGCTAGTCAGCAACACGGTATGTGTTTTCCTGTGCCATCCCTTCGATCTGCAGACTGCTTAACTTGAATTGGAGATTTCCAGGCAGACAGATGACTGAGGCCAGAACACTTTTATATTTTTTCTCCAAAACATAAATAGTCATCAGTGCACATCTGGAATCTGTTTCTGCCGTGGTCTTTCTCAAATCTATTCATCACAGATCCAATCAAGCATGGGTCCTAGTAGGTGAAAAGAATTGTTTCCTGGCAGCAGCTACCTTGCAAACACCTCCCATCGCCCAGCTGTGGTGGGTGATTTCATTCTTTTTGATTAGAATAGAATAGTTCAGTTGGAAGGGACCTACAGTAGTCATCTAATCCAACTGCTGGTAGAGCCTCAAGTGGGATAACTGACCGGTTTTGTTCAGGTAAGCGATCGCATCCTAACCCCACCTGTGGTGGGTCATGGTTGTGTGTCATGTTTGCAGTTGTGCATTATGGTTTTGTGCGGTCTCCAAATTCAGTTGACTCGTTACGCAGCTAGTTAGTGAAGAGTCACGATAAAGTCATGAGACTCCTGGTCACCTGTCAAACGAAACCAATGAAAGTAGTCACCGATCCTGAAGCTGATAATCACCAAGGTGTGAGCAAGGGAGCAGGTTCATTGCAGAAGGTTGTGCTTACAGTTGTTGCTATCTGATGTCATGATGAGTCAGCCGAGCCCTCAAGGTTTGGCGTAAATGTAATTTATCTTATTAAGCCTTCTCCTAAGAATAGAATTGTGCAATGAGACTTGGCTGTCTTCTCTAGGAATATTCACCTGAAGCAGTCAGGCTTGTCAGCAGAGAAGGTGAATAGCATTGCTCTTCTGTGAGGGAAGGAGCGCTCACAGATGTTAGAGGGATTCATGTTTTAGGAACAGATATAATAATCATCTGGGGAAATTAACAACATACTCATGCCTTGGGATTGCCCCAGTGACACTGTTCTTTTTGTCATGAAGACGCACAACAAGGTTCCAACAGCTTCTCTGTCCGAAGTGTGTGAGCATCGGACATTGCACAGTCACTTCCATAAAGGAGGGGCTGTTGTGAATCCATTTCAGGTCCCTGCCGCTTGTGCCGGGAGAAGAACGTTTCCCAACAGGAGAGAGTAATCTAGTAATCTGGCTTGCTCGTGTGTATAGCGTCTTCGAGAAATGTCTTAGAGGAACCAAAGTGCCTGAACATCTTCTGTTCTTTGTATCTCCTCCTTCAGAGATTTATGTTTTTCGGTTAATTGAGTGTTTCCTTTAGGTTTGTGTTTATTCTGTGGCTCTGAAGCTGTTCTGTTGTTTTTGGGAAATAACTAATGGATACAGGGGTGACTACCGTAATTGCAAGAGACAATAACCTGTTAGTTGAAAGCATTCATTGTCCTGTCTGCTGGCAGAACTGTAAATATATTGCTTCCGTGTGAATTCACATGGGAATAACTCCTCAGGTCATACTATCTACTGAAAAGTCTTCCTGTCTTTGCAGCAAACTGACAGGAAAGCAGGCGTGACAGAGCCAAAGAAGGTCCGAGCTACGTTGTACATTGCAACAGTGAAGGAGACCCTGAGCCAGCAGAACTATGATCTCTTCTCTAAGGCTCTTCAGCACTACAAGAAGACAGATGACTTCCATACGATGTTATCTCAAATGGGTTCTCTCTTTATAGAGGATGAAAAAAAGCATTTCTTGTTACGAGGTATGAGGACTTCCCTAGTATATCTATACAATGTGACCTTTGTCTTTTACATAGACTCAAATATTTCAGAAGTCTTTTAGATTTGAAGTACAGATCAATCAGGTTGATAATCATTAACATTCACCACTTTGTAGCCCCGGATCACACAGAAAATATTCTCAACCTAATTATCATGTTAGTTTGCGTCTTGACAGGCCTGAAAAAAATCACATTCAACGGAAGCTTGTGTTAGTTTAAACCTTACCTAAAAGTAGTTTAAACTTACCTAAAAGTAGTCTAGCTTATTCCCTGTGACCGAGGAGGGGAGCTCAGGAGTGTGGTTGTGTGAGCTGGATAGATGCACTCAGAAGGGCTCAGTGTTAAAGCAGCAGATAAGTAGACAGAATATCTAGAGAAATTTTCTATTTAAATAGCAGTGAGAATAAAGCAAGTGATCTGGGCAAGCATGCATAGTTTACTGGTGTAGCTGGTATTTGCTTGGCTTTTCATACTGTATAAATTCGAAAACATTTGATCACCAAATTAAGGCCTAAGTCTAGTTTACAAAAGTGGCAGGCACCTGAAACCTGAAGTTCATTTGCAGTTTAGGGTCTTGCTTGTCAAGCATTTTACAGTAAGATGAGATGCAAAATCGAGTGTATCGGTTATTCAAAGTATCAACCTGGCAGATACTTGGACCCTGTGGCTTGAGGTAGCTCATGACCTTATGCTGCGGGTACCTGTTTCGCTGAGACATAAGCTACATCCTATTCACAGTTCCTGCCTACTGGGAATGATATAGCTGGGAGTTTGCATGGTAGCTGACCTTTGTGTAACTTAGAAGTGTGCTTATTGTATAAATATAGATAACGACACTTAGATTAAGTTATTTAGATTTTAAGTTATTTAGCTGCACTTTATCTTCATGGTACCTAACCTAGAAGTCCTGCCATTGTAGGTTTCTGTGGCATTCATTACCTGTTCTGGACTGATTTTTCTTTTTTTTTTTCCCTTCTTTTTTCCTCTCTTCCCTTTCCCTAATGAAAGAATTTTACCAGTTTGTTCGACCTCAACATAAAAAACAGTTTGATGAAGCATGTTGCAATCTGACTGGAGTGGGCTGTGGCTACAAACCTGAGCACAGCCTCCTGCGAGAAGAGAGACAGACACTAGCCAAGAAAATTGGTGAGGAGCTTGTTTCAGCACTGTGCAGGCAGAGGTATCGTTTGATGGATGTTACCCAATTGTAGAGCAAGCTGCATCTCATGTGTAGAAATGTGAGGATGGAAGGCAGGTCGGTTTAATCAATATTGAGCTGAGTCTCTGATCTGCATGATCCTCTTGCCTGCCTTCCCGTGAGCGTATGTGGATGCCTGAGCGTTAATTACTGCGTAGTTAGGAATGACGCCATTTTATTTCAAAAGGGGATTTTACAGATCTATTTAAATCATTAATGTAGTCTGGATTTAAAGGCTTTGCGTGTGTCTTCTTTGTTACCCACATAGTGCCACCAGAACTGTGAACAGAGGGTAATCACGTCCTCACACAGCTTGTGAAATCCTTGAAACCCTGGAACAATAAAGCCCTTAAAAAAGGAGAGCGTTAGCTCATCTCCTCTTATCAGAGAAACACATCTACACCTTCGGGTGTTTTCAGCACAGAATGGCATACTTTGAAATGCACCATGCTGTGTTCATTCTTCCCTAAGTTCACTGTTAACAGACTGGTTTGATTTAACAGAAGAAAAACAGAAACAGCAGAAAACTGCATTCTCGAAGGACTCGTGCGCTCAGCTAAACCCTGGGCTCCACTTGAACCGGGGAGGATTCCACTTGACAACAGGACTGAATAGTGCAGGTACCCCCCTTCATGTTAAATGAAAACACAATCCCACCGTAATGCATGTTAGGTTTTATTTTGTCACTGCCTGTAAGTTCTCCTGATGGGAACCAATGTTTTTTGTGTTCACCCAGCACAGTGGCTCGCTATCTGTAGGTAGGAGTGGTGGTAATTCAGAATTTTTGGCAAGGATGATACAAAAGAAAACACAAAAGTCAAGGTGGGTATGAAAGGAACCAAGTAAAGCCAGGAGCTGGGACTAGAGGCTGACCTGGCATACGTCAGTGAGGGAGAGGGCGAGCTGAGCACAAGGCTGCTGGGCTTTCTGTTTGCCCAGGCTTCGTGAAAGAGAGCCATCTAAGGGATGTAATTTTAGATTACGTTACGTAGGTCGATATGAATCCAGGTATGAAGTTTTGTTATTGCTTGTGCGTGCACTCCTCATGCAGACAGTTTTTCTGCAGAAACAGAGACCAGAAGTTGTATTCTCACTGTCTCACATAATCTTTGTATGCATCCCTCTAATCTCATGCTGTCCAGTATTTATCTTTGAAGTCAAAGGCTCAGTTGTGACGTGATTACAGATCTTCCTGAGAACAGCTGGGAATTTTTTGTATTTATCACACGGAAATGAGTAGGATAGTTGGACAGCTTAGAACTCTTTCTTTAGAGGGTAAAGAATAGTCAAAGGCTAATCCTTTCATTTATAAGAAAATAAAAATAAAAAGCCAATGTTTCCTGGAAGGCTTTAAAAGCTTTTCTTGTATGAAGTCATGTCTTCTCTTTTTGTTTGTTTTCCTGTTTTGTTTTCTGTTGTGAGAACACTTGCACAAAACGAAATCTTTGATAATTCTTTTGTCCTGAGGTCCACGAGATTGTTTTTCACAAAACCTTTTTTCCACTAAAAGTATTTGGGAAAATAATAGCAGGAGTGAGCAGCAGAGATAATACTTACATTTAAGTGGAGTATGCTCCTGTGAAAGTGTCGGAAAGCTCTATGACATGCAGTAAAAGATACTTATTATAAAATTCACACCCATCTTTTTCCCCTTTCAGGAAGTTGAACTAAGCCCATTTTTAAAAACTTCATTATCTTCTTTAACTTCGCTAAAAGTTCTTCAGTGGAGAACAAAGACCTAAATACCAAAAGATGTGTCTGGTTAATTTAAATCAGTTTCTTATAATATACTTCATCCGTATTTGCATGACTGTAATATGCAAACCAGAACTTTTTTCCTCTAAAACGGATCAGGTATCAGAGACTGGCATTTTGAACAGATGGAGTTTAGCAGGGTGTTCGTACCTGCTCCTACCTTTTGCTGTGCCCCTGCGTTGCTCTTGCGCTAGCTTGTGGGTTATTTCAGGTTGTTCTCTTTTAACATTATGCTGTCCTGTTGGTGGGAGGGAACACTCTTTTTCTCCTTTGATTAATAAAGGGTGAGAAATATATTTTCTAAAATGGCTCTGAACAATTTCCTTGCCCATGTGTCAGGCCAGCATTGTTGGTTAAGCTCTCTGTTTAAAATGCTTCTCCTCCTCCAAAGCATTGCACAAAACCTGATCTGTTGCTGACCTCCGTGCACAGTGTCTTCTGTGTCCCTTTTTCTCGTTCCCCAGTGTCTACCTGACACATTGCTCCATTTAAAAGATCCAAAAACTCCAGAAGATGCTAAAAGCAATTCCCAAAAGCAATTCATTTGCTCAGTTGCCCTTTCCAGGAGCAACTCTTGGCTCTGCCCGAGGCCATGCCAGTGGAGGTGTGTGGCTGTGCGGGCAGTGTTGGCTTTACCCCTTTGAAGCTGTCCCAGAACCCCCTTCTGAGTGAAGAGTCGATACAAAGGAGTGACCGGTTTGTCCCTGCTCCTCCCCAAGCCCTGCTGACGTGTGTTCTTTGTCTCTCAGGGCAGAATGCTGGTCGAGCTCCAAGGAAAGACACTGAAAACGCTTCAAGCTCGAGGAAGGATCACCACCAGGTCCTCAGGGCCACCTATCTCAGCGATGTGAAAAGGGCTTTGGACAAAAGCGCTTACAGCCGTTTCCACGAAGCATTGTTAGCTTACAAGAAGACAGATAACTATGACTCGATGGTATCCGTGATAGCAGCCCTCACCACTGAGCGGCCAGAAGACTTTCATCTCCTACAAGGTAAGGGATTTTTTTTTTTTTAAATCACTCTTATTCAGTTGAAAAGAAGATGTAGGTGCTGTGATCTAATGTCAGCAATCACCTTTCACTAACCATTAGTTTGCAAATTCTCCACTTTTAGGAAAAACTTTTAGCATTGGTAAACTTCACCTCTCCCCTCTTTTGGTTTAGCAAACCAGATGAATGGAACACAGGAAAGATGTGTTAAATGAATGTCATTCAGATAGCAAAAACTGTCAAGGTTATAAAATGTTATATCTGTTTGTTCGATTAGAAATTGTTCATTAAAAGCATTAGATGGGACTGGAATTACTGAGGTCTTAACCTTCAGTCAAGCTGACTTCAGTCAAATTATTTCACTACCTTTTTCTTTCTCCTCAATTATGACAAGTGATTGCTCTTCAGAAGAGACAGTCCTGGCTATTGAACTGACTCGGTTTTGTTCTCATCACCACTGACTGCTGTACTGGTACTAAGCTCTTAAATCGCATCCAGGTTTTTTGGGATAAGCAATCACTCTTTTGATTCATTATTCTTCTACAGAGCTTTACCTGGCGATAGTTATGGAACTGTGTCATAATTAATATCCTTATCATTCATAATAACCTGCTAGAAACGTCAAGCTGATATTTAGTTTCTCTGAAGTGGTTTGGTTTAGGTTTTCTTTCCTTTCATGGGTTTAATGATGAAAGGATTTAGGAAGCTACAAGTTTTCAAAATTTGAAATTGGGCTTTATTGTTTAAAAAAAGAAAAAGAAGAGGGATTATATGCCGGTCTTGATTGCCTTGATAGGGATGTCTTGTCTTGTGCTATGGAACACCTCAGTTCCACCTTCTCCACGTCTGGAAATGATGCATCCGGCGTGTGCTGGGAAATGCTGGTGTTGTTTCACTTGTTGTCTTTAGGAAATAACAAGAAGTATCCCATTGACCTTGAATAGATGTCATAGTCTCCAAATTTTTACAAAATTTTTTTTTCTGGTGCATTAGCTAGTCAGATTAGTCTTGACTGAGTGAAGAGTGGGAGGGAAATGAACTGTGTGGTACTGTGAGTCATCATCTTCCCCTGAGCATTCAAGAGTCAGTATCTTCACTGAGCAGATGTTTTGACCGCAGAGGACTTTGTGGTAGAGTTGTCTGTGCTTGGCATTAAGACATAATTGGGATTTTTTAGAATTTCTCTGTATGTGCTGTGAATCCTTGTCAGCCAAACAGTAACAAGAAGTTTCCTTTTTGAGAAAATCGTTTCAGATACTGTGTATATACCTGATTTTGGTAGAGCAGTTGTCAGGTGAAGGGCAGGATCAGGCATTTATGCTTAGCTGTAGAAAATAGAAGAATTTTGAGGTAAGTTGAGATTATTTTCAATACTACATACATATCTGTCTTCTGGCAAGGAAAACCCTCTAATTATAAAATCAACAAAAATGCCGAGTGTTCTGCCAACCTGAAGATACTCTGAGGAATACGGCTGATATTGTTCAGCTCCCGAAGAGCTTCTCCCCTCCAAAGCAAGGACTCTTCCACAGTCAGGCATTTATTTTCTTCTGCATTTGACTGTGTATTTTTCTGGACAGGATTTTACATGTTTGTGCGCCCTCATCACAAAGAGCAGTTCAAACAGATGTGTAAAGATTTGACGGGAATGGTCTGTGGCGAGGGAGAGAAGCAACTGCAACCGCCGGTGGAAGGCGAAGGGAGCCCTCAGAGCCTGGAGAGCTGGTGTGCTAAAGGAGAAAACAGCCATGCACGAGGTTGGGAACGAACGTTTGTCTGAAGCTTAGAATCTTGTTATGATGATGGGTAGTGTCCAGCAGTGTCCCCCCCCTTAGCTGGGGGCTAGGGGCTCCCTGCACTAGGTGTGTAAGGGAAGAGCAAAGCAATTGGCCGTGTCTAAATTACATTTAAAAAAAGAAAACAAACCCAAGTGTAAGATAGAAGGTGATGAGACATTGGAAAGTACAAGGAAACAAGAAAAAAATTATAGTGCCATCTTCTTTAAACTGTGAAGTGTGTTATGAGCGAAGGCAGAATTTTTGCATCTAAGTGGGGTGGGATCAAGATCCTCTCTGGGAAGAATTTCCACAGAACAATTTCAATATAAAGGGTCCCTTTCAGGGGTAATACGTGTGTTAGTATCAGAAACTTCTGTTACCAAGCAGCATGGCATAAAAAAATAGTTATTGAAATTGTTTTTCTTCCTACACAATAAGAACTTACTGAACTTGCTGCTAACTGTGCTTTGTGGAATCTGTGTGGTGTGTTCTGCATTATCCTGGTTTGTATGTGGTTGGTTTTGTTTTCTTGTGTTAACCAGATGCAGCCACTTCTAAGGGTGAGGTGCCAGAGAAAACTCAGAGAAAGATTTCCTCCTTCTGCTTTAACCAGAAAAGTGAACTTGACTTGCCAAAGACCAAAATATCAGAAGAAACCAGTAACGTGAGAGCACCCACAGGCTCTGGAGTTGTGCCTATCTTTCCCCTAGAGATGGAGCCAGAATGTGGTACGTGTAGGTGAGATTTGGGGTGTAATGAAAATTACACTGATGGTCCATTAAATGATGACTGGTTCATGCCTATATTTGTTCAGGTGCAATAATGATGAGTGTGGTTTGCTATGTAGAATTTGTACTTTCTGCCACTTGCATACGTTCTCTCAAAGTACTTCATTGTCTTTATCACAATGATGTAATTCTTTCCGGAGAACTTATGGATTTTTCTCTGACTTCCTTGTAAAGCGTGGATGTAACCTCAGTTTCTAAAGGGGTGATCTAAAGCTCTGAGAGACTGAGGTCATCGGAAGCAGTAATGTAACAGGGCCAGGCATCCCACTGTTCAGGTGGTTCATAAAGCTCATGGTTGTTTTCTGAACTGCACTGGAAACGTGTGTGTGTGAGAATTTCACAGGTGATGACTGGAATTTAGTCATTTCTTCCCTCTCTCTCTCTCTCCCTCTACCCGCCCCGCTCTGTTCTAGGAAGATTCCGGTGCTCTAACTGCAAATCTGAGGATGATGTGCCTTTTAAATGCCCATTGTGTGACTTCACTTGCTGCAAAACATGCTGGGAGCAGTTCTTAAAGGTTATTTTCTCTATTGGTTTCAGTTTTTCTGGAAACTGCTGGCAGATTTTATGCTTTTCAGGAGAACTGTGTGGACAGCCCTGGAAACAGAATTCCTCTGTTTACAGAGAGAATACCCAGTGGAAGACTTACCACTTGTTTCATTGTTTTCCGTGATTTTTACACCATTGTATCACCTTCTGAGCTGCCTCCACATGTTTTCCCATCTAGAGCTATGCAGGCAACAAGCTGTAGAGTCAACTTGAAAATTTTTTTTTTACATCTGAACCTTTATTTTAATTTTTTTTTTTCTTGATTAGTTTCATCGTTTTCCCCACCTGAAAACCTACTGTAAAGCACTATAATGAGAGGAGGCAAATGAGGAACAGGCTGCCCAGGGAAGTGGTTGAGTCACCATCCCTGGAGGTGCTTGAGATGTGTAGATGTGGCACTTAAGGACGTGGTTTAGTGGTAGGCTTGGTAGTGCCAGGTTAACCATTGGACTCTATGACCTTAAGGGCCTTTTCCAACCTAGATGATTCCGTGCATCTATGATTCTAAATTCACACTCAAATATCTCCTGTGTCATCCTGTGCTCTGTTTTTCCTGGCTGAGTAGATTGGTGGTTGAAATTCTTTAGATAAGAGGATGTAACTCATCCCTCAGTGCGTGTGTTTGGTAGCGTCTTACCCAACAGTTGATTCGGCAGCCAGGTATTGATAACCTGTGACCCTGGGTATGGAAGTCTAATACAAGAGTTGAGTGGTTTCAGAATGTTCATAGGTGATGAAGAAGGCTACTAATCAGTGAAGCTCAGGAACCTACAAAAACAGTACAGAGGAAAAGAAATTTCTTCAACCTGTGAGTCTACAGGCAAGTACAAAATAATCAGTCATTCCAAGTTCTAGAGAAAGGTCTTCTTCCCAGGAAGAAGACACTGAATTATGTCAACTAAATGTAGAAAATAAACAGTACATTAACATCTCAGTGGAATATAACAACCAAGATAGACTTGGTCCAAGAGGAATATACAATAATGCCCAGACTGATGTTCTCAGACATGTGGGAATTCAGAATAGCTGTTCAACTAAACTTCATCCTCAGTCTGCTATGCCATAGTTCTTTAAAAATGTTGAAGTCCAAAAGTATTGGATTGTGAGGAATAGATGTAAGAAAGTACAAGAAAGCCCAAGGAAGGCATCTCATATTTGCTGCGGACTGGGCAGTCAATCCAATTGCCTTGGATAGGCATTACTGCTGGAAACTCAATTTTCCCTTTATGCCGAAGTGTAGTGGGGGTGAGTTTGCTGACTGTCAGATGTTCCAGTTCAGGAGAGACTTTAGGAGAGACCATGACAAGAATTATTCTAGCATGTGTTTATAATCTCTGCTGCTTGAGACTGGAGTTGATTAAGAAGCAGAATGAGCTCCCTGGGAAGATTTTTTTTTTGTTAGGCATGCATTTATTATCCCACATTTATTATCCCACAGAGATGGTATCTCGGCCCATGCATTTTTATCTTTTATATGTCTGGAGAAAATCCCACTCCTTCTGCCAGTAAGATGAAACTTGTAATTGTTGTTTTTGTCAGCTTAAGAATCTGCAAAATTAGAACTGCTGTGTATTGAGCAATTGTGCTGCCCTGTTCTGTGGTTTTTGTCTCGAAATTCCTAAATCCTGAGCTCTGGTTTTCACCTTAATCCCCATGTCACTGCCTTTCATGGCTCATGGATAAATCAGAGCTTGCTCAGCCTCAAGTATTTTTCAATACTCCTTTATCTGATTGCACATCTCTTAGACTGGGGATTAAAATAGTCTGATCTACCAGTTTAGAGTGCATTTCAGAGTCGGGTACTGGGATGCATCCAGAGAGCTGGTGGAAGGGCTGGAAGGCATGTCCCGGGAGGAGTGGCTGAGGACTTTGGGTTTGTCTGGTTTGGGGTAAAGGAGGCTGAGGGGTGACCTCATTGCTCTCTACAGATCCCGGGGAGGGGATGTGCAGAGGGAGGTGTATCAGGGAAGGTTCAGACCAGGTATTAGGAAACATTTATTTACCGAGAGCGTGGTCAAACACTGGAACAGGCTTCCTAGAGAGGTGGCTGATGCCCCAGTGCCCTTAATAATAGGGTTTAGCTTTTGTTCAGCCCTGAAAGTGGTCAGGCAGTTGGACTTGGAAGGAACCTACAATGATCATCTAACTGGAATTATTAATCCTATTCTATTCAGATATCCAATACAAAACGATGTTTGGGGAAATGACTCATTCCTGTGGGTCATTTGTTATTAGTGACTTTCATATTTGCCACTTATCTGGATAATCTTGCTAGTTACAGTAAAACTTCATCCCACGTTGTACCAGGTGATGGCAGGGGAAGGAATCTGTTTTTCTTAGCAAAGGTGAATCAGAGCTTTGCTTTGTGGTAGCGTACCGCAGCCCTGGGAGGTGAATATAATCATATAATTTGTAAAAGATCAGGAAAGACAGATAGAGTTTGAAGCAAATAATCAGAACATAATAGCAGACACAGTGAGTCAGAGTAAAGTTCTGTCCAACCCAGCATTCTGTCTCTGGCAGGGGCTGAAAAAGAATGGCTGGGAGAGGGTAAAAGAACATGGCAGGGATGAGTGAGGATTCTTGCAGGTAATGTCTGTCCTGAAGCTGTTTGCAGCACAAGAAATCCCTGAGCCAAAAGTTGCTACTGTATAGTAAGAAACCTGATGACTTTCCATCACATCGTCCAATTCCCATCACAAACTTGTCATCCCTGTCCTGCAGCAAGCACTGCCACAGCTGAGCTAGACATTGTGTGAAGATCCATCTCTTTTTTTGTTGTCATTTTGAACCCACCCCTTGCCAGTTCAGTTTAATGCCCTGCTTATTTAAAAAGGACAAACACAATATTCTTCCCATTCTCAGGAAGATGCATTGTGGCTATCCTCTCCTTTGGAAGCACACCTTTGGAGTCTCCCTCCATACACCGAGTGTGATCCGTCTGCCTCCTCCATAGACAACCTGCATTGAAGCCCTTATTCCTAAGAATGGGTTTTTCCTGCTTTGAACAACAAACTGGGTGTGGGGGAATGAAGAAGCATCTTCTCACTAGCCGAGACCTTTTGCTCCGCTGTTCAAGCACCCCTCCAGGCTCAGCGTGACCGACATTCTCCAGCCTCTGTTACGGAGAACATGAAACTCCATGGTCTCGGCACCTTTTCTTACCTGCTGTGACACACCTTGCTGGTGATGAACGGCTCTCAGCATACAGCAGGTTAGCTTGCTCATGGTATGATTCAAGTGTAGCTTGGTCAATGAAAAGTCAAATATCTTGTAGCTTGGGCTGTTACTTGAGGACCGATGGAGAGACACTTCTCCCATTGATGAGGCAGAACTGTGCCCTGCTCGTCATGCAGGAGAAGGAAGAAGAGCCTGGTTGAGAGCAGAGGATTGCAAACAGGAAGAAGATTATTCCTTGTTTCTTCGAAACCAGTCCCAGAGGAACCATCTGCTAACGCTTCCATCCGCCTTCCTGCCCGTGTGCTGGCTGGTTGTGTGCACAGTTGGCTCCGGTTGCGGCCAGGGCTGTGTTTGCCACCGAGGTACCAGCAGGAAATGAGCAACTGTGTGTGTCTGAGCTCTGAACCCTCATCCCATGGCATCGGGCTTTGTCACCGCTGACAGGGCTGCATTTGAAAACTCATTGTTTCTCTTTACTAATAAGTTACTCACAATGTTTCTTCAGCCCGAAAGCACTTTGCATTTTGTCTGATGAGGAAGTGACTAACAGCTGATCAATTGAAATGCAAGGAATTGGGTTTTTTGCAAATTGTGATGTTTCTTCCAATTTGTTATTTTACTGAAACAGCTTAGTGATGGGGAGAGGCGGTGAATAATTTTGGAAAGTTTCGGAAGCTTTTGGAGGAGCAGACAGAACAGCCTGCAGCTGGAGGGCTATTAAAGGATTAGCGCTGATGCTGTTCCAGTGGTTTGCGATGTGTTGGGGGAAGCCTTGCGCAGGCTGTGCCAGTACACGCTGCTTTTGGTTTTAGCTTTCTGTGCGGAGGACTAGGGCTGCTTTTCGGTGTTTAAAGGCATCGTTTATTCACACTCTTTTTTGCAGGGTACTGCAGAGAGACTGAGTTATTCTCATTTGGACTATCTGTAATATGGGCAAATAGTGTAAGATTTCACAATCACACTTAAATTTTCAGAGCTCAAATCACTGTCTACTGGGAGATAAAGTGACTTTTCCTCTCCCCCTCTATTTATGGTATTTCAGTTGATGTTTCTAGAATCACAATACTAGTGCCTGAGCCTACTTCAGTCTACATCTGTTGTTGCAGTGATTGATTTCCATACTGCGGGGAAGCCTGTGCGGTGCCACTGGTGTAGGTCACCATGATTTTAGCCTACTGAGCTGGCAATTTTCTCACCAAGATCAGGTGTTTTGTTTTGTTTTTTTTTTTAAATCTCACTTTTGAAATAAGCAGAGAAATTTTGTTTTACCAGTAATTTGCGGGTTATAAAAAGAACCGTTGGAGTTCATCCGCAGGTCAGATGTTTAAAGACCGGGCTTTAAGATCAGTGCAGCGGCAAACTGAAAGCGGGGTGGAGAAGTGGTTGCCTCCTGTACCCAGTCCTCTGCTGTTAACCGAGAAAGTGGTGTGAAGAAATCGATGGCCTCGGTTCCCCCACAGAACTCTGGCTCATGACCACATGTGTCACCGATGTCCTGGTATGCCCAGGAGATCACTTCCTTCTCAACGCCGCAAGAGGAAGCGGGAGTTCAGGGAAATCATCAGCCATCTACTTTTACTACTAACAAGAACATCTCTACTTCAAACAGCTCTTGCGGGCTCTGTATTTCCTTGTTCCTGTATTTTACCCTTCCAGAGATGTCATAACTGTAATTAATCTCGGAGGACGGCTGTGAAGTTGGTTGCACTGGAAGGCTTGCTTCTTCCTCCTTTTATTACCAGCAGTTAAGTAACCGACTGCACGGTGACACTGCAATTAGAAATAGCAGATAGGGTATCTTGGGGACTCTTAAATGACCGCCACGGCTTATATTCCGTATGGGACAATTGCAAACCTGACAGAGAAATTTAATAATTGGTGTATTTTGTTCATTGATTTGTACAGATGGTGAAGAAGTGCCCGGGGTGCCTCAGTGATGTGAAGAAGCAGCGATTGATCCAAGTTTTCTTCTGGTCGTAATCTCCCCAACAGGAAGGGCAGGTACGTCCTATCGGCAGGAGGAGATCGCGGCACTGTCAAGCTGAGCGGCAGCAGGACGAAGGTTCATTTAAGTATCTGTGATCCTTGGCTCTGGATCCCACACTGTGCACCAACCACGTTTCTTCCTGCCAATGGTGATCAAGTCAGAAAGGTCTCTTCAACCGCTGGCAAGAGACAAAGCAGAATATTGTCATTTGTTGGAACAAAGGTTAATTTCTTACTTATTTTAGCCTGTAAATTCTATTGTGGCGATTCTTAGGCTGAAATTTTATATCCTGGAGGCAGCTGCCCTTCATGAGCCCTTCAGGTAACACCAGATCCTGGAAAAACCCTCGCGAGAGCGCTCCAGTGGAACTGGGCTGGCGAAAGGAGGGGGCCAGGCTACCCATCCTTGCCACGCTGGTGATCCTGGAAGAAGTGATTCACATCAACTGGTTGGTGTTTGGCAGCAGCTGCTGTCTCCAACAGCAGAAGATATTGAAATAATGATTTTTTAAAGAAAACAAAAAACAAATTCCAGTGGTTGGATAGTGAGCAGAAATACTTACCCCTGCTGTGGACCGCAAAGCCTGATTTGGGAGTTTTTGGAAGTATGCTCCTAAGGAGGCGTGGTTTTCTGCTCAGTACTGATATTTCCGTTGTGCTTGTGTTATCTGGCATTTACTTTCCAAGAAGAAAAAGGAACTAATGGATTTAAAACTTTAAAATAAATCAAGTTAGATGGGTTAAAAAGGAATTCCTGAATACTTCCACTCTCTGTGAGTAGTGGATCTAAGTGGTTAACCTGAAAAATTATATCAATTTTACATCTTCAGTGGCTGCTGTAAATTAAACTGTAAATAAAACCATTTTTGTCTTAATTGGGGCTATTATTATTATTTATTATTAATTATTGTTTTACCAGATATAAAACATCAGGTGTTGAGTCGTAGTGGCCTTGGTGGAAGTGGAGAGGTTTATACTGGGGGATTTTTGACACTTGAATATTTTTGGTTGACAAAAATGAGCAAAGGATTGTATTCTCGTTTGCTAATTCATTTTGGGATTCCTGTGATGACAGAGACACTTCATATAGGATATGTTTTCAGAATTTTGTGGGAGGATTATATTCTTTAATAGTTTTAGGGGGTTTTTTTCCACAGCCTGATGTGATGGATTTTTGGAAAATTTTATGTTAATATTTTAGGGGGTTTTTTTCCACAGCCTGTAGGAGGATTTCATACTGATGGATTTTTGGAAAATTTTATGTTAATAACTGATAACTCGAAATGGAAAGGTGAGCTGCATTTTAGCAAACACTTCAAAGGTTTTTATTTCCCCCAGTTACAGAATTCAAAGCCAGTGTCACTTGAAATCTCATAGCTGCTGGGATATTGGTCCCCACTGAAAAATTTATTTTTCCTGATTGGAATCCACGTGGAAACATCCCAGTCGTGTGCGTGATGCCGTGACTCTTGAGCATTGCAACATGCATGTGTTCAAGTCGGGTTTCACTGCGGTCGGACTGTCTGAAGAAGAGGAAAAGTGGTGTTCTAATTAGAAATAATGAAGATTGGACAGGAGTGAAGGTAATTTGGGGCTGGTGTATATTCTGACATGTTGAAATCTGAATGAATTTTACCTTCTATCTGTCCGTGTATCTATGCCATGCACTGCTGATAGCGGTTAGATTCTGAAAACCAGAATAAACACAGAGAAAGCCCTGGATATTTGAAATATACATGGGAAAAATTACAGAAAAACGTGTGTGTGTACGTATGTTGTAAAAATGAACAGAAAAACCTGGAGCAATGGTGTGAAGAAGGCAGCAATGGTGAACGTCCTCCGAAAGGACTCCGAGTTTTGTAGCGGGGTGACTGTGGTGGGTTTAGTGATGGAAACGCTACGTTGTGCTGGACTGGAATCCTACCAGAAACATGGAAGACAGCTTTGCTTCCCAAAAACAAAGCAGCTCCGTACCTGAAATGTGCTTATTTTTGTTTGTTGGTTGAGGGGTTTTGTGGAGGGTGCACTTCCCAAGCCCTGCCCCGAGTGGTCTCTGCCATCGCTTGTTCTCTTTCGCTTTTTTAACAGCTATAGCAACAGCTATGCGTTATGGAAGTTCAGAAAAGGAGAAGGGGATGCTCTCGGGGGAAGCAGATCAGGGCAGTGCTGATGTTTCGCAGGCGGCAGCTTCGGGGGGTTTGAGCTCTCAGCCTGAGCAAGCAGTGGAGTGGGGAGTGTGAGAGCCGAGGGAAGGTGGGAGCGGGAAAGTGGCATTTTGTGGTTTGATGGTTCCGTGTCCTGTCTGTGAAGTCCTCCCTGGGGAGAGCTGCAGCGTACTGCGTGTGCCACTGGAGGGAAACCACAGCACAGGATCCGAGCTTCGACCGCCTTCAGCGAGGCAGTGGAGTGATGCTTTGGTTGGGTTTGCCTGTTGGAAATTATCACCCAGGGACTGCAGAAATGCTGCAAGATCCAGCAGGACTAAATGGAACAAAAGGTACATGTGATTTGCTGTGATAAAAATTGAGACTTTTTTCTTCTCCCCCTCAACTAGAATAGTTTTCTAGCTGTGCTTCCTTACCACTGGAGTTGTTTCAGTTCTGGAGACTGTTCCTACTTGGGAATGCTCCGTTAGCGAGACAGGGCAGAGGAACTGTGTTAGAAATATCTCTGTGTCTTCACAAGATTAACACGTTCCTTCTTTTACTCGTCAGCAGTTCATCATCTCGCTGAAGGGATTTGCTGTGCGTGCCTTCGCCAGCTGAACCCCCCTGACACGCTCCGTGTCCTCTCTGCTCTTTGCGGATGGGATTCCTTTGGGATCGCTCTGGTTTTGTCGCTGCTTTCTGGTGTAGTGAGGATGGCCCTGCCGCGGGTCTGGAGAGCTGGTCCCTGCTGCCAGCACCTCGGGCAGGATGGATGAGTGCTGGTGGGTGCTGGGAGATGGGAGAGCACCCAGCCTGCAGGAGCTCATCCTGGTCTGCGGCTTATCTGCTCAGCACTTAGTTCTAGTTTTAATAACGAACAGAATTTAATGCTTCTGTCGTTCCTGACCTATCTTGGAGAGGTTTGCTGAAAAGTTGTGCCCATCAATTAAAAAAAAAAAAAAAAAAAAGGCAAGCTGCTGCAACCCCAACCAGGGATGAGCAAACGGGCTTTAGGTGGCATTGTCCATTGTCCTTCGCCAGGTTTTACTGAAAACCCAAAGGAGCTCCGCTGGTGGGAGAATTCTGAGCTTGAGGGGAGGTCTCTGCCCTTGTAGATCGCTTGGTGTCACTAACACCGACCCTAGTACCTGTTAGGAGACGGTGACGCTGGGGCTTCCAGGGCATCCTTCCCTTGAAACCAGAGATGCCCCCTGCCGTGACCAGACCCCGGCCCTCCCCGTCCCCAGCCCCGCAGCAGCCGGGCGCTGCCTTGGCCGCACGTTCCCCGTGGCAGGTTGCTCAAGAATCACTTCTCACGACAGACCGTGCGCATGTATTTCCACTCCCCATCTTCCCAAGAGACATCCCGAGCTGTGTGCGTCACCGAATCCTTCATGGCCTCGGCCCCGTCCTCCTCCACGTGTGTGGAGTGCTGCTTCCTCCCCCCGCCCCGGCACCGAGCCCCCTTCCAGCGAAACCTTGGCCGGGGGTCCCCGGGAACCGCTGCCGGGATGTGCCATGGACAGCCCTCGCCTGGTGTCTTCAAACCCATTGGATTTGTAAGAAGAGAGACAGAGATAGCACTTTTTTTTTTTTTTTTTTTAAGACCAGAAAGTGAAAACAAGATTTATTACAGAGAAAAATCTGGAGGAACTGCGGAGTGCTGAGGGAGAGGGAACGCGGCCCCTCCTCGCCCATGGTGGGAAGCAAGGGACACAAGGGTCCCGGGGGAAGCAGATACTCATCGCGGTTGCCGCGGCCTATGACTACACCTGCAGCGTTGTCTCCAGCTTTAGTGGTGTGTCACTGAAAAAACTTCTCCCCTCTGGTTTTCCTGAATAAAGCTGAAAGAACTTGGGAAAGGGACCAAAAATAACAGAGCGGCCGTGCTGTCAGGAAGGAGATGAACTGCGTCTTTGGAGCAGCAGGTCAGGGCCAAGCTACTGCTGGAGAGGGAGGAATTTCTTGGCTTTTCGTATTTTTCTCTGAATATTAG